CTTGAAAACTATTCCTCCTAACTGGAACCTTGTACCCTTTCATCACTTTTTCCCTGTTCCTTATACTCCCATCCTCACCTTCTGGTAGCTGCCATTTTATTCTCTGTTCTAAAATGTGACTTGCAAATGTTTTTTTTAATTCATTAAGTTGATTGATACATTGTAGGTATATAGTATGATGACCTTCATCATTGGGGATTTGTAGCTTTACATGATATATCTTGGCTCTTATTTTTCCCCATTCCCCCTCCCTCCCTTCAACCCCTCCACCTCTGCCTATTTACAAAGACTGTTTCTGTTTTTTTCCTTTTCTCATATTTATTCCTTTCCCTTCTTTCCCTTCCCCTACCCCCTCCCACCTCTCCTTCCCCTTTGGACTTTTTCTTCTTATTTCAAACAATCCATTATCCATTTTGATCCTTATTTACACTTTCAGTTTCTCACACCAGGGAAACTATTTGGTATTTACACATGTGTGTCCTATTTATTTCACTTAACAGTATGGCCTTAATGTGCATCCATTTAGCTATAAATGTCTCTTGTTTCTCATTCTTTATAGTTGAGTAGTACTCCATTTTATAAAACAAAACAAAACAAAATCTTAATCCAATCTCTAGGGCTGGGGATTTAGCTCAGTGGTCTTGCTGCCTGCTGCACAAGTGCAAGGACCCGAGTTCGATCCCCGGTACCAAAAAAAAAAAAAACCCCAAAAAACAATCTCCAGTTGATGGGCAATTGCACTGTTTCCAAGAATTAGCTATTACATAATGTGCCGCTATAAACACAAGTGCACATATATTGCTGTGGTATGATTCTTTTAATTCTTTTGGGAAGATACCCAGTAGGGAGATAGGTGGGTCAAATGTGACATCTAATCCTAGTTTTTTGAGATCTGTGACTCACAAGTCTTAATTCTGAGATTCTAGGTTTCAAGCTGCTTCTCTTTTTTATTCATTTTTACTGTAACAAGAGCAATCTTATTCTTCACTGATTTTCCCCTCCGTTTTAGTTTAGTTTGTTATATATTTAACTGTGTCCCCTTGACTACATTTACTAATGTACTTTTCTGCCTGTTAGTGTAAAGGTTGTTTTGTGACTTTAGGTCAAGAAAGACCATCAGATAACAACTATTCTGTCATCTATAAAGGGTCTTGCTCTCCAGTCCCTTACTAACACTTGTGATCTTTCAAATGACAGCCATTATTATTTAGATTACAAGTCAGTCTCAGTCACTAACTGCAAAGATTTCTCCAATTTGGACATTTGGAAAGGACTCAAACTGCACTGAATGTATTCATGCAGGGCCCTGTTTAAAAGGAAAGTGTACAGTAGTCCCCTTTATCTGTGATTTTGTTTGTTGGGGTTTCTGTTACTTAAGGTCAACTGAAATCCAAAAATATTAAATGGAAAATTCTAGAAATAAGCAGTTAATAGGTTTTAAATTGCATTTTTTGGAGTAGCATGATGAGTAGCACAATGAAATCTTGTGTCTTCCAGCTCCATCATGCCCAGGAGGTGTATGATGCCTTTGTCCAGTATGTTCATGCTGTATCTCCTACCATCCATTAGTGTTTTTAGTAGCTGTCTTAGTGGTAAGGTTGACTGTGTGGTATCACAGTGCTTGTGTTCAAGTAACCCTTATTTTACTTAATAATGGCCCCAAAGTTCAAATTTTTATTACAGTATATTGTTATAATTGATACATTTTATTACTGTCAATATTTTACCTTACCTAATTTATAAATTAATCCTTATAGCAGATAAGTATGTATAGAATAAAAGTATATATAAGGTTTGGTAGTATTCAAGGTTGCGAAGTCCCACTGAGGGCCTCTCCAAGTGTATCTTCCAGGTGTAAAGATGCTGACAGTGTTTGAAAGATTTCCTGACACATATCCTGCAGGGCCCCATAATTTATACACACTCAGACTGAGAGTCAAGAGACATTTGGGCATCATGAAAGATAATGGGAGAATTGTTGTAGTCCAGCCAGTGATAAGTCAGTTGTATATACATTTAGTTCTCTATTGTTTTTGAAATTTATAATTTTTTTCTTCAGTTCTTTTATTGGTCCATTTTAGGTATACAATACGTTTACATTTGTCATTGGGTGCTTGTACCTGAACATGTTGTACCTTGGTTCTTATTTTTTCCCTATTACCTACGCACCCTTCACTCCCTCCACCCTTCCCTATTTACATAGACTTCATTTCCATTTTTTTTTTCTTTTCTCATAGTTTTTCCTTTCACTTCTTTCCTTTCCCCTATCCCCTCACATTACCCTTACGTCTTTGGACTTTTATTCCTATTTCAAATTATCAATTATTCATTTTAATCATTTTAACCCTTATTTATACTTTCAGTTTCTCATATTACAGAAGCTATTTAGTATTTAGACGTGTGTCCTAGTTATTTGAAATTTATATTTTATTGAACTCTGCTGTTATTACTACTTCTACTAGCTTTGGGTTTTGCTCTACTTTTTTCTAGATCCTTAAGGTAAAAGTTGAGATTATTGGCTTAATGCTTCTTTTGTTCTCTTAGTATAATTATAAAATACTAGACAATTCTCTTTAAGTGTTTTCTTTAAACATTTTAAAATCCTATGAATTTTGATATGTTGTGCTTTTCTTGATTTCCCATGAGTCTTTTTTAAAAAGTGCCATCAATTATTAGAAGTATTTTGTTTAATTTTCAAGTATCTGTATTTGGAAATTTTTCTAACTTTTTTTTCTAGTTTAATTTTGTTATGGTCAGAGAAGGTACCTTTCCTCTATGATTTCAGTGCTTTTAAGTCTGTTAAGGTTTGTTTTATGACCTAGGATATGGTTAAATTTGGTGAATTTTCTTTGTGTATTTGGAAAGAAGTTTATATGTTTTTGTTGAGTGGAGTGTTTGTAGGTGTCAGTTTGATTCTCAGTTCTTTTATATTTTTGATTTTCACTCTGTTGTTGATTACAGACAGGGAAGTATTGAAATCCAATGATAATTGTGAAATTTGCTCTTTTTCCTTTCAATTTGTTTCCTTCATTTTGAAATATCTAGCTGGAAGCTTAGATATTTAGGATTATTATGCTTTCATGGTGAATTGATACTTTTTGTCATTATGTGATTATTCCTTTTTAGCCATAGTAATTTTCTTTGTTTTGTAGTCTAACATTACTACAGATGTTCCAACTTACTTATGATTTATATTTGTGTTTTGTATGTTTCCATGCCCTTAAAATATCTGCACAATTATATGTGAGGTTAATTTCTTTAGACAGCATATCACTGACTCATTTTTAATTTTTTGTAATCTTTGCCTTTTAAATGGCATGTTTAAATAATTTATACTTAATTTAATTGGATGGAGAGTGTATTAAAGACTTTCAGTTAGATTATTTTCTCTATTTCCCCATTCTTATCTTCTTTGGTGTTATTTGAACCTTTTTCCCATTCCATTAAATTTTTTATCTTGTGTTTTTTATTATAAAATTTTTTTTGGTGATTATTCTAGGACTCACTGTATGCATATTTAACGTTTCATAGTTTACTGAGAATCAAGTGAAATATAGAAATTTTACTACTGGATAGATCTGTATATAAATATTGCAAAAATGCTCTCTCAGATTGTATTTTACCTTTTTACTTTTTAAATGATGCTTTTGGAAGAATATATGTTTGTAATTTTAATAGAGTCCAGTATTTTTCTCTTTTATAGTTAGTGCTTTTTGTATCTAAGAAATATTTGCTCATATGGTTGTGAAGATATTCTCCCATGTTTTGTTCTAAAATCTTTATAACTTTAATATTTAGAATGAAAGATTATGCTATTGCATTTTAAATACCAATGTCCCTTTATTGATCTATCAGAGGGTGATAGTTGAGTGTTTGCCCATGTTTCAGAAGAGAAAATGGATCAAGTTGTTGTCTAATATATTTTAAATCATACTTATGGTGGATTTTCAAGATGTTTACTTGTTATATCTTTTGCTGTACCACAATTATGTCTCAATCTGTGTTTGTAGTGGAGAAAACTACGCTGTAACATAAAAAGGGACCGAGGTCATGAATAAAACATTTCATTCTATCCTCTTCCTCCTTTCTTCCTCTTTCCTTTTTTTGTTCTTTTTTTAGTTATCTTTGCACATTTCTTTTCATCCTCTTCTCTGTTTTTTCCTAGCTTCATTTTTCTTCCTCCTTTAAAATAATGCTTATACCGGGGCTGGGGATTTAGCTCAGTGGTTTTGCCGCCTGCTGCGCAGGTGCAGGGACCCGAGTTTGATCTCCAGTACCAAAAAAAAAAATGATAATAATGCTTATACCTTTCTAACATTATGATATTGTGTAATTTTCTGAAGTTTTCTTTTTTACATGCTAACATATTCCCTAAGTAGTAATCAGTTCAATAGGATGCACTTTTATAATGGCATATTTGCGTCACTAGTCTTGTGCATCCTAGCAATATTGTAACTGATGTTTGGTGCTTTATTATGCCACAGGAAATTACTTGGGAAAGATTTGGGACTATATATACTTTCATAGAAAGTTGTAACTCACGGCCAGTTTATATGTAGAAGAATTACCATTTAGTATCATTTGTGAGAAGAGTAGTTCTCTAAGTTCAAGTGAGAATTGGGAATTTTGCCCTGTAAAATGAAACTCCTTCATGTACTTATGACAGAACATTTTTGAAAGGACAGTAGCATAGCCAAAGTTTTATGTAAATGGAATGTACATGCTATGTTCTAGTTATAGGGATACTATCATTTTGGAGTCTGGGATTTCTGCAAGAAGTTTGATGTAGTGTAGATTTTGATATCCTACAGAACAATAACATTGCTTAAATCTGTTTTATAGCATCTTGAGATTGTAACTTCTTAGTATGCTATTAATTGAATGGTCTGAATGAAATGTCCCTTAGGTCTGTTTATAACAGTCTCAGATGTATCTTAAAGGAAATATACTCAGTGTGCTCTTGCTTAGACTAAACAACTGCCCCCTGCCCCTTGCTGTAGGATAAGAAATGGATTCTCAACCATGAAGATGTCACATTGGGAGAATTACTGGGCAAGGTATGTGACAACTGATCTAAATAACAAAAGTTTTTTGTATTTACTGTGAACGCTTTCGCTTTCTTTGCTTATATTCCAGCACACAGCAAGGCACCTTATAAGTAATCCAGAACACAATTATCATATCTCTTATAAATTCTGTGATGTCCACTGAAATAGATGTCTTTGAAAGACTTATGGAAGATTCTTGTTTTTTAAAAGTAGTATGTTTTCCCCTGAAGGACGAAAAGCAATGTAATAAAACCAAAACTATTGAAATGAGATTGAAAAGAAACTGAGATAATAAAAGTTTAAATAAATACCTAATAGTCTTACTTTGTTTCTGGTTATATGTGATAGTTCAGAAAAAGTGAATACTGCACCTTGAGAGTTAGAACTGTTCAGAGAATTACAGTATATAACATTGGGGATATTATTTCAATATAAAAAGTATGGACCAGCCATATGTTTCAGTATCTATTTTGTGACTTTCTATTAGTGGTCAGAGAAGACAGCTTTATATAATTGATGTTTCTTCCAATTTAGTTGGAAGTTTCTTTGAACTCATAGGCTATATTAAAGTATATTATGTCTAACAATAAAGACATTTAATAATCAAAGTGAGTTATTTTCAAATTTATTGTTTTATTTATAATTGAATTCTAATAAAAATTTGTCATTGACTTAATCAGATATTTTCATGTGAAAGTTTGAGTTGAGTTTAGCTTCATAATGTAGTATAAAAAATTACTGTAAAATCCAGATATTTCAGGAAACATATCATAGATAAGGAATGAGTAATCATTACTGGACTTAATTAAAGCTCAATACTTCAGGTAAAACAATGACTATTTTTTATTCAAATGTAGATTTAATGAGTTGCCTTTTTTCCTATTTAAAAAAAATCTCTGATGTATGTTGAAGAAAATAAATCCTTGTTGAAGTAATCAACTTTGCAAGATTCTTAACAATGATTATTTTAAAATATTTCGTCCAAATGGAAGCATCAAATTTCTATCAGAAAGCAGAGTTTTATAGGCTGCTAATACATTTACCTAGTAAGTCACTTCGAAGAACCTCAAGCTAAAGGCAGCAGCTGGCATGTATATTTACTTTGTGATGGTCCCCTAATTCTTAAGAAAAGATTCCTCCATTCTATTGCTATTAGGTAGCCCAAAAGCAGTGATAGGGTAAAAAATTATTACAAAGGAATGAATTTATGAAATTTAAAACTAAATCACTTATTAAAATGAAGAGAATATGTTGAGGCCACGTTTTTAGTATGAAGAAAAATATTTTCAAACAAAAATATTTCAATTATGTCTACTCTATAAACTATGGCTTATCAGTTAGAATTTAGCTTGTTAGAAGGTTACTTTAAGGAATAATTATTTTCTCAGATGAGGCAGTAGCATGTCTCAATAAATTTAATCATTTTTACTAAAAGACTGATACTTTGAGACACAGTGTAGCTTAACTTCATCAAATATTTTAAAATACTACAATATGATTTGTCACTTAATATTTCATTGTCTTTTTTTGAATAAATATTTACAGTATACTGGCTGAGAGTGCATGGGTAATTAAAGGATAACTATGCTTCAGACACTTAAGGGGTTTGGAGTTTGGTTAGTAATTATATTAAAGTAATGGCAGAAACTGACTTATTTATTCTGCACTATAGTCTTAGTAGACTGTGTTTGCTATGTGGTTGAGATTCAATAAATGTTTTATTCAGTCATTCAATATTTTCTGAATGCCTACTATGTGCCAAGCACTCGTTTAGCCACTCGGGATATATCGGTGAACAAGCAAACAAAAGTCATTTCCTTTATGGGGTGTAGATTCTGTTAGCAGGGAAGACAGATAAATAATAAGCACTACGAATAGGTAAATTTTACAGTATTAGAGAGTGCTAAGCCTTGTAAAAACAGAAGGTTTAGGAGCGCTACTAGTTGAGATTTCAGTTTTTAAACAGTCATTTTGGATGTTATGTTAAAAACAGGCTGATGAGCTAAAAGATTGGGAGGCAGTTGCACTTACTAAAAATGATGCTAGAGGGCTGGGGATTTAGCTCAGTGGTTCCACCGCCTGCCTCGCAAGTGCAAGGTCCTGAGTTCGATCCCCAGTACCAAAAAAAAAAAAAATGATGCTAGACAGGGTGGTGACACAGAGATAGTGAGAAATGATGAGTTCTAGATATATTTTTAAGTTGAACCAGTTAGATATCCTGATGTAGTCTACATGGGGATTGAGAAAAAGAGTGAAGTTGGCTGTAAGTATAGCATGTTTCAAGGAACACAATTAGGTGTTCAGTTTTGAATATATTGAGTTTGTCTGTTAGCCTTCTCTGTGAAGATGGTGAAAGACAGTTAGCTATTAAGTCTGCCTTTTTAAAAGAGATTTCTGTGTAAGAAGTACAAATTTGGTGATTTGGGTTATGTAGGTGACATTTAAAACCATAAGACTGGGATAGGGGAGTAATTTAGGATAGATTGCTTGCCTAGCATATGTGATACTCTGAGTTGGATCCCCAGCACCACAAAATACCTAAATAAAACAAACCATAAGATGAGTTGGATTCAGTGGGAGACTCAGAGATCAAGAATTGAGCCATGATCATGCCAACATTAAGGGATGGGGAAAAGAGAAGTGATCATCAAATGAGGTTAAGAAAGAACCACCAATTGAGAAGGCAGAAACTGGGTCAGGGATGTAGCTCAGCAGGCACAGCACCTGCCTGGCAAGTGTGAGGTCTTGAGTTTGATCCTCAGTACCAAAAAAAAAAAAAAAAGCAGTAACCAAGATAGGAGAGCTTGGAAGGCAAGAAGAGAAAGCATACCAATGAGAAGAGTGGTGGGAAATGCTGGTGAGAAGTCCAATGAGTTAATGGCCAAGAATTAACCACTGGATTTGCCAATGAAGAGGTCCCTGATGATTTTGTTGAGCAGTTTCCTTGGAGTACTTCAGGTGAAAACCAGGTTGGTATAGATTTAAGAGAGACTAGGAGGAGAGGAATTAGAGAGGAATTAGAGAGGAATTAGGAGAGGAATTAGGAGAGGAATTAGGAGAGGAATTAGAGATAGTAAGGATGAAACCCTTTGAAATTTTGTTGCAAAAAGAAGCAGAGACATGCAAAAAAATGAGTTTTTTGATGTTTAACCTGAGAGAAATAATAACATATTAGTTTCCAGTGGTGAATGGTATAGTGAAAAATTCATGATACAGGAAAGAGAAATGAGAATTGCTAGGGCAATAGCTTTGAGTAGGTAAGAAGGGATGTGATTCAGCTCAGTGGAGGATTGATTTTAGTAGAAGCACAATAGTTCATTTTTATCACAGCAAGGAAGATTGGTAGGTGAATAAATCTGTGACTAAGAATCCAGAAGATCTGTTTAGATTACTTCAGGGTAGTTTTCCTCTCATTGAAAGAGGAAGCAACATCATAGCTCAGTATGATTATTGGAGATTTGAGAAGAGAGTAAAAGGGAAACGAGTCATTTGGAAGAATGTAGGAGTGTGAGTGGGTCTAGAAAAACGTGTAGTCTCAAGTGCCCTAAAGTCTGTTTTCATGAATTAAGAACCCCCTAACATTTTATGTTCATGAATATTAAAGATAAATCAATTAACATGGTTATAGTTTTTTCAGCTGTTTTTATGTTTAACTTTGTAGATGCAAAGTAGGCTGAATTTGAGATTTTATTAGGATTATAGATTTGCCCAGTACCGTGATAGTGAACATTTTGGAGCTATCAATGATACAAACAGCCTGCTGTGGCTCACATGCCATAGGTTCACCACCATTGGCCTAGGGAGTTCTACAGGTAAAGAGAAGCAAAGATGTAGAGAGTATGTGGTTTGTTAATTGTAATTATTGACTTTGGGATTTAAGGTGGATACAGAAGGAGGAGAGAATATTAAGGGGGTAATACATAGTAAAAAGTGATAGTCTATAAAGATTCCTACAAGGTGAAAGGAATTTTGAAGTTAGGTATAAGAAGTAAGTTAGAAAGACAGAAACCTGACCAAAGAAGAGATAAATGAAGTAGATGTTATAGAATTGCTTTATTGGTAATATGAAAGTTTAAGGTATGACTCTTGAAAATAGATGGATTCCCAGATCTTTGGAAGAGAGATGTCAGAAAAAAAAATACTTGAGAATTTGAAGCATTGAAAGGACTTGAAATTTCTGTTGAAATTGGCAAGAATTCATACAGGAGCAACACTGGATAGAATGACAAGTGACCTAGGTATAGAAATCATAGGTGACAGCAACAGTGAAGGATAGTAAGAAATAGAAAAGAATAATACACTCAAAGGCTGAAGTTTATAGGAATGCAAGAGAGAGAATGGTTTAAAGACACTGATAAAGAGCTAGTAAGTTACTATTGTATGTCTTGGACACTGGTAGATTACACAGGGAAATACGTTTTTTAAGTTTAGAGTGCAGAGAGGATCTCATTACCATTTGAGTGTTCTCTGATGAGAGCTAGGATTCTTTTATAACAAGAAGGTAAGAATTATCAAAGAGTAGATTGAAGATCTAACTTTCATGACAGACCATAAATTCCAGAAAGTATAGTAAAAGTTAGGTATAGAAGAGAAAGAAGGATCAAAGAAAAGTGGGCAGAATCTGATGAGGGTAGGGAAGAAGAAATGAGGATTAACCTAGGACCAAGATTTTCTTATGACAATTGGCATAAATATAGGCAGAAAGCATAGTGAGATTTGTCCCCTTGGATAGAAGACCAATAACCGAGATGAAGTTACACCTGCTGAATGGTAGCGAGTAAGGAGTGAACTAGCCTTCCTCCTGACCTCTTTGTTTGGAGAAGAAATGGTCTGGGTAAGAATAATCATTTTGTCAGTGTTTGGAGATTCCTTTCTTGATCACCATTGATGGAGTTGAAGTTCTCTGGAAAATGGTTGTCAGATGAATGTAAAAATTTTCAAATGTCCAGTGTGTATCAAAACCTGTGGAGTGATGACTGTTCAGAAACAGGAATCATAGTTTTTTAGAATTTTTATGAGAACATGTTTGCAGTACATAATCACGTTCATCCTGGGGGATTTGTGTATGTATATAACACAAGTACAAAAAAAATTAGACCCTCCAGATTTAAACACCCAATAAAAAATGGGCATCTGAAATGAACAGACATTTTTTAGGTGAAGAAGTACAGATGGCCAATAAATACATGAAAAAATGCTCAACATGGCTGGCCATTTGAAAAATGCAAATTAAAACAACATTGGGTTTCCATCTCATGTCAGAAAGAATGGCTATCATCAAGAAATCAATAACAAATGTTGATGAAGCTGGGGGAAAAACAACCCTTCTCCATTATTGGTGGGTGTGTAAACTGGTACAACTACTATGGAGAGCAATATGGAGATTTCTCAAAAAACTAAAATTAGAGGTTCCTTTTGACCCAGCTATTCCCCTTCTAGGTATCTTCCCAAAAGAATTAAAGGCATCATACCATGGTGATACATTCATAGTTTATAGCAGCACAACTTATAATAGTTAAATTTTGGAAACAGCCCATATATCCTTCAACAGATGAATAGATAAAATGTGGTATTTATATACAATGGAGTAGTACTCTGCCACAAAGAAGGATAAACTGAAGCCATTTTTAGGTAAATGAATGTATCTCGAGACCATAATTTGAAGTGAAGTAACACAGAAGTTTGAATATCACATTATTTCTCTTGAGTGAGGAACCCAAAGTATAAATAAGGAGCAAAATAGAGGATAGGTATTAAGGAGTAAGAATTTTTTCTAATGGGAAGGGGAATGAGATGGGGGATGGAGGGAGGGAAGGAAGGGAAAAAAGAAAGATAAAATAGAAAAAAATGGAAACAGAGCTTTTGTAAGTGGGGAAGGGAAGAAGGTTTGGAGAGAAGGGGGCAGAAAAAAGAAACCATTTTGAGAAGTTAAAAAAATCCTCATGAAGGAAGAAGCATAAGAAATGGAATTAAAGCTTAGGTTCCATTTTCTCTGATAGGAGATTAAGGTTTTCCATAGAGAAAAAAATGTAGAAAGGCACGGCACATACTTTTTGATCACTAAACATTTGAGTTTAGAATACCTGTACCACTGGGGGCTATAATATGGAGCTAGACAAGAGTAGTCATTAGTGGTAATTAAAGGCAGTTGTATAATCAAATTTTCTTTGTTAGCAAGATTAACCTGGCATTGTTGAAATAAGTGTGTTGGAGGGGTGAACAATCAAAGATGAGAACAGTTTAGGTGAGAAGGTTGGGAATCCTAATGAAGCAAGCTTTTGTGAGCTGCAAGGGGGAAGGCAAAAGTATAATGAAGGTAGTGACTGAAAACTCACATGGAGAATGATACCATAGTTCTAGTAACTGAAAAAATGTAATGTAGCCATGAAAAATCTTTGGATGAGTAAGATGATGTTTTAGGCAAACTGAATTATAAGTGCCTTAGAATTTTTCAGATAAAGACAATATCATGTATATACTAATAGCTTCTCTAATATAATTAATAACCTGACAATTACGGGAGAATAACAAGAAATAAATCTAACAGAGTGAAGGGTACTTTACTTAGTTTAAAACACTTCATTATGCATGTGTGTGTGTGTGGCAAAGATTTACATTATGTCTTACATCTCAAATAATGAATGTATTTGTAATTTCAGGGAAATTTTGGTGAAGTATATAAGGGCATATTAAAGGATAAAACTGCTGTTGCTGTTAAAACATGTAAAGAAGATCTTCCTCAGGAATTGAAAATAAAATTTTTACAAGAAGCCAAGTGAGTGCTCTAAAGTAATACAAAATATGTATTTACAATTCATCATAATTGTTTATATATCACTCATTATAATACATTTATAATTTTTTAAGATGTAAGTTTGAAGACAAAAGTTGTGAAATGCTGAAGTAGAAATAAACACTTTCAGAATCCTATTAAGTTTTTTTACAATATGGAAACAGTAAGTTTGTTTTTGAGGTAGAATGTAGATCTGTTAGACAGTCCCAGTAAGAACCAGGTGTTGAAAAGGAGCGAATATTCTCCAAGTCCTTAAAAGACTGTATTTCTTACTTGAGTATTATTGCTTTGATTCTCTAAATTTTATTTTCTTTACTGAGAATCATATTTCTTCTTCAGTTTAGTGCCTGGCATTTCTTTAGTCTGCTTCTTAATTCTCTTCTAATGGGTCTTTTAAGATGATTGTCTTCTCGTTTTTCTATTAGCTAGAATTTAATGTCCTGCTGTGCTATTCCGTATTACAGATAGTTAATTCTGTTAGTGGTGAAAATCTAATATATTAAAAAACCCCACAAAATAATTGGAAAAAGTCTTTGGCCAGAGTAAGATGAATGAGCATATGGATTGGAGATGGATAAAATGAATGGATGGGAAAAAGAATCCATGGATCCACAGATTTTGTGGCATAAAGAGAAAGTGCCATGGAGAATAGAAGAGATGACAGTGAGGAAACTAAGGCCCAAGGCATGAATCATTTTGATGTTCATTTCTTCATTCATAATCTAAAAGTGAATTTCAATGGTAGTGAATTAAAGTAGTTGAATGCATTCATTGTTTAACAGTTAAAACTGTATATTATTGGAAATTCAGAAAAATTCTAATGATTAACTTGACATGCTGTCACAATTGAAATTCATACTCATTTTATGGTTTTTCATAGGTATTCTTAAGGTAGAAGGCTATGTCTAACATTATTTTCAAAAATATTTAAGTTTCTTACTTAAGAGTCTTTTATTGCAAAGTACAGAGTTTGATTTTCTTCTTCAAAGTGAAATCACACATTTTATCTTAAAAATGAACAGTTTTCAAACCTATAAATGTTCTTTGATAGACTCTAGAAAGATGTATTTAGATATTTAATATTATCAAAGTTCATTTGGTTTTTTGCAATTTCTTTAGTACCTATCTTGGAACCTAAGAAATGACATTTTTTGGTTAAAGTCAAATGTTCTTGAAATCTTGCTTTTAATTTCTCTTAGAAATTAGAGGCTCAGAATTATTTACAGAATATTTTATCTTTAGTCTTTTTCCTAGTCTTTCATTTATAAATCATTATATATTAGAAATCATTTCTTAGAGCTTTCTCAGCTTTAATTATACATGTAAAATATATTTTGTCTTTATTCAGTTATTTTTTCATTCTTTTAGGAAAGAATACTGCAAATAAGAGCAAACTTATAACTATATTCTATATCAATAGGATAATGATTAAAATTTGGTAATAGAAATAAGCAGGACAGGCCTCTGAGGGAATCTAATGTATTTTTATCATATGATTGGAGTTCTATAGATGAGCCTGTCATATTTTTATAACTTCTGATGAAATTTTGCCTGTGTTCAAACTAAGTATTCTGTTTCAGTTTCAGCCTGTTGAAACTGTTACTCAATTTTTTTTTAATTATTGGCAACTTTCTCAAAATTTTTGTGTTTCTACCATTTTGAAATTGTGTTCAAGAAAATATTTAACTGTTATAAAATCTAATGCAGTTACTCTCTATAGCATTTAGCAGTATAATTTTTTTTTGCAATGGTGGATAAAACCAGATACTTAAAGGGAGCTTTACCTATTTTTACAAACTAGATTATTCCCATTTAACATGATTGTTAATCATGCAGAGTGGAGAACTTTTAAATGAATATTTAATTGAATTAAGAAGCACAAACTCATCTGTACCTATCTTATCTTGCCAATATTTATTAATACTTTTATGCATTCCTCCCACTTATCATAATTGGGGTTATACCGATGTTTTAAAAATTGAATTGTGACTACAGTATTTTCTATTTGTATACCTTATTCATTATTATAAATTAATGCTTTACTCATTTTTATTCAAATGATGAGAATTCTTATATTTTTCTCTCATCCAGAATTCTCAAGCAATATGATCATCCTAATATTGTCAAACTTATAGGAGTTTGCACACAAAGACAGCCTGTCTATATCATTATGGAACTGGTTCCAGGTAATGTGATTTTAGAGGTTTGCATGATGACATTTTAATGTCATGTTTTATTACTTTTTTATTTTCAATCTCTCTGATTTCTCCTTGTAAAGTTTCCAAGGATTTTGTTTAACATTTTCCTGATGACAAAGAGCTTGTACATATACTCAGTATTTTTATAGGCTATAACACTTCACTGTTTTCTAGAAAATGTCAGCCAACATTTTTTGGAGACAGATTTATTGGAGTGTAGTTATACATGAAATTCAGTTATATATAATGTTTATGTGTGAAGAGCTTTTTAGAAAAAAATCAGTTTACTTAGTGTGACTTTATAACACTGATAGTTCTATCTTATATTTACTACTTGGATACCATTTTAAAGTACATCTCTACGTATTCTCTTGAAAAATAAATATATGTAATATAATGGTGCTTTGAGGGTCACTTCTTTCAAATGAGAAGGTGATCAGTCTAGGAATTTCTTCTGGTATTTCTTTCTGGTGACTTTCAATGCCTTCAGATCTTTTAGCTAGCAACTTGTGACAACAGAGAAAGACTTCAAACCATGTAGTATGTTTTTAAGTTTTCTCATTGTCCATCTTCCTCTTGTAGAAAATAGGTATAATTTGATCTTGATAAGTTTAGAAATAGAGTATTTAATAACAAAACAATTTTGCTTTACTTTTTCTGTTTTTACCACTAATAAGTATTCATTTTAAAAGAAAAAATTGAAAGGCATATGAAAAATTATTTTTAACTTTAAAATATGCGAAGTAAACCTAGTATTATAGATTGCCCATTACATATTGTCTATATAGTTGTTTTACTATGTCTTAGTCACTTTTCTTATCACTGAGATACAGTACCAAATACTTGCAACTTAAAGGAGGAAAGGTTTATTTTGGCTCACAGATTGTAGCTCTTTCATTCCACAGTCCACTGCTCCAAGGCAGGACAGCATGGCAGAGTGGCATGGCAGAGGTGAAACAGCTTATGGCATGGTGTGCAGGAAGCAGAGGGAAAGGTAAAAAAGAGACAGAGAGAGATATCAAGGGAAGGAGATAAACCCTCCCAAGCCATGCCTTCACTAACCTTCTTCAGACCAGACCCCACATCCTACTAGCAAGCCAGGTATAAACTCCCATAATCCAATCACTTTCCCAGACCCCCATCTATGAACTCATGAGGCTTTAGGGATATAAACCATAGTCCTAGATATAAAGCATAACATACTATTCAGGATTGTTGATCCTGTTTCATCCAATTACTTTGTTTCCTATTGGAATATTGCCAGTATTAATATATAATTTAATCATCTTCATAATCATCTTCATTCTCTTGAGACAGCATTGTCTGTTAGGTACATTGTCCGTTGAAATGGTTTGCACAGTTTATGATCTATTATCTTCATAGCTTTCGATATCGTTAAGAAAAGGTGAAAGTACAGTCCACATTTTTAAGAACAATTGAATAGCATTATGAACATGAACTATGTGAATATTCACACAGGTGCAGATGAAGCCCCTTATTAAGGAATTGGCACTGAGAAGTTTAAATTTGGGAGGTGTGGCTAACTTGATGAGGAAAGGTGACCTCTGTTACCCTGGATGGCTAAAGGAGCATGGATGCAGATTCCAGATGGCAAATCTAAGTTGAATAAAACAAAAGTTTGCTTTGTATGAAAGACAAGGAAGTGTTTATCTAGATACTAACAAGTAACTTCTCTTGTAATACTTCATTTAAAAATACAAAGTAAATTATAAATTAAAGCTTTCTACTCAGCATTCTAATTATATCCCAATGCCAGTTTTTTTTTCTTTACTTTCTGTCAGCTCTGGTGTCTTTTTTTTTTTTTTTCCTGGGAAAATGTTTAATTTAGGTACCTTAATTTTGTACAAATCGTTTTTGTTTTGTTTTGTTTTGTTTTTTTGGTACCGGGGACTGAACTCCAGACCTTGCCAGGCGGGCACCGGCACCACTGAGCTAAATCTCTGGCCCCAAATCTTTTTAATTATAAGAAAAACGATTATAAGGTCAGATCCTTTTTTCCTCTTAATATTACTTGGGATAGTATTATTGTCTCATAGTCATTCATATACTTCTACTTTTTTTTGTAATGGCCATAGAGTATTCTATTTTGTAAATTTACATAATTTGTCCAATCAGTTCTTCATCTATGAATACTTTATTTTCTTTATCCTTTTGTAAACAATGCCAAATAAATTTGGACTCCTTGTAAGAATCTTTTGGAAGTAGGGTAGAAACTTAATGGAATTGTGTATTTTGATTTATGGTAAATGGATTAGCTTCTTATTTAATGTTGTATGACATTATCATAGTCAAGAAGCTTAAAGCAACATTCATTTATTACATCACAGTTACACAGTTTAGAAGTTGAGGCAGATTTGACTGCGTTCTCAGCTCTGTTTCTCATGAAGCCAAAATAAAGATGTGAGTCTGCGCTTTTATCTGTAGACTGTGGGAAAAGAATCTACTAGCAAGCTCATTCAGTCGTTGGCAGAATTCTGTTCCTTGCAGCTCTTGGTCTGAAGTTCCTGTTTCTTTACTTGCTGTCAACAGGGGAGTCTCTTAGTTCTTTAAGTTTGCCTGCATTCCTTCTCACGTGGTCTCTGCATCTGCAAAGCCAGCACTCCCATGTCACATCCTTCAAGTGTTTTTAATATTTTTGACTTCTTTTTCTGTTACCTGAAGGAGAAAACTGCTTTTTAAAGGGGTTTACATGATTAGATAATGTCCACCTGGATAATCTCCTTATTTTAAGGGTGACAGAATATAATTATCAGAATGATATTTAATCACATTCGTAAATCCAGGCATTAGGTGGGGGATATACTTGAGAGGCCATCTTCATATTCTGCCTACTACAGTAGATTTTGGTAAATTTTCTTAAAGGCTAATTGCATTATGGAGTCAGAAGCCATGTTATACATAGTTAATCTAAGTCTGTTGTTTGATTTTGCAATTTAATTGCATCTTTTACGCATTCATGATTTTGTACCATTGTACTTCAGTCATTTGGAAAATATCAGGACATCAGGTTGTGGAGATCTTCAGAATAGTGACACAATTCATTATAACAACTAAGATCATCTTCATTAATGTCACAACTAGTCTGAGCAGAAAAGTAATGGGAGCAGGGCAAGCTCATAATGGCAGATAAATGTTCTCTAAAATTTTATTTTTCATTTGAAAGCTTGGTTGTATCACTGGCAAAAAAACCTTTTTTTTTCTTTAAATAGACTCATTTCAATCATTTTGGAAAAATTGCCGGCCAAACATCTTTCTTTTTAGTATCCATAATTTGTTACTTTTTTCTCTTTACACTTTATTGGTGTGTGTGTACAGTGGTTTAATATGTGTAAATTATGTAAGTATGGACATTTGTATGTATATTTGAAACCACTGCCACAACTAAGCACATCTATCGCTGTCAAATTTTCTTAGGCCTCTTTCTGGTCCCTTCCTGTATCCCTGTCTAAGCCTGTACTAATCACCTACTTATCTGCTATCATTTTTAAAGTTTTTTTTCATTAGTACATGTTTGCAGTGCATAATGAATACATTCACCATGGGGAACTGGTACATGAACATACCACATCTTAGTCCTTTTTGCTTCTTTCCATTACTATACCTTGCCTTTTATCTCTAGATTCCCTTCCCATTTGTAAAAGGTCTACCTCTGTTTCCTATAATCTGTCTTTCATTTTGCTCTTTAGATTATACTTTGGTTTCTCATATAAGTGAAATTAAGCAATATTTAATCCTTTGTGTCAGATTTATTTCCCTTAACATTATGGTCTCACAGTGCATCCCTTTTCTTATGAATGACTGAAATTTATCCTTTTTGGATGAGTAATAGACCATTCTGTAAATATAGCATACTGTCTTATATCTGCTTTCTGTTACTTTAAATTAGTTAAGACTTCATAGAATCTTGTATAAATTCAATAATATAATTACTTGTCAACATTCTTCCTCTCTGCAATTATTTTGAGATTAATATATGTTGTAATGCATATCAATATTTCAAGTCATACTTTTATACTGCTGAGTAGAATCCATTTTTTGAATACACCATATTGTATTCATTCAGCTAGCGATAGACATTTGTATTATTTTCACTTTGGGGCTATTAGAATGAAGTTTATTCGAACCTTCCTGTACAAGTCTTTATATGGATGTGTGGGGTTTTTTCTTGGGAAACTACCTGCAAGTAAGGAGAATGACTATATCATATGGAATTTATTCTT